AGATCTTCTGAACAACCTTCTTACAGTCACCTCTACACTCCCCCTCGAGTAAGTGGACCTCCACCTCTACAGTCTTATCCAACTTGAGTTGAAGAACGAGGACCAGAAGGACCCTCAGGTATGTACACCCACAGACCTTTGTCCCCCCTGGTAGGTCATACCCTCAGGTATGTACACCCAAAGACCTTTGTCCACCCTGGTAGGTCATACCCTCAGGTATGTACACCCATAGACCTTTGTCCCCCCGGTAGGTCATAGCCAACCTCTGGTAACATCAACAGTTGTGAAGACTGAACCATTCTCAAGCCAAATGAGAACTCAAGCCCAACATGGTCCAACAGACCATGACTTGGACAAAATTGCCAAAAACATTTCTCGTTTTGATCCCACACCTGATGGTCAAAATGACATTAAAGCCTATCTTGATGACTTAACGTTATACCTAAGAAGGTTTCCTGAAGTTACAGCTCAGGATTGCATCCATCTGATTAAGTCAACTGCTAGCAGAGAGGTCACTAAGTTCATGGACCGTCAACCAGCCCATGTACGAACAGACCTGCATTTGCTACACTATTCTCTAGAAAGAGAGTTTTCAGATGAAACAGTACAATCTGGTCTGACTTCTGCTCTAAACACCAGACAAAGTAAACAAGAGCCACCAAATAACTATTACTATAGACTCCTAAATGCCTATTTTGGGTCTAATAATTATCTGGGGATGGAAGAGGATGTTAACTTCAAAACTCTCTTCGTTCAAAACCTCCATAATTCAGTCAACACTCAACTTGGTGTGATGGCTAACCCACGAACAGCCACAATCCACCAGTTGTGTAAATGGGCGTCTTTAGCCTTTCAGAAGGTGAGACAGTCCAAACCAACCGAACCAACAGTCCTAGCTGTAAACACACGTTCTCTACCTCTGGAACTTGAAGGAACACAAGCAAACCCTGACTCCTACCGAGCCAAGTCTGCCCCTTCATCACCCAAGTTTAAGAGAACGAAACAGCATTTTCAGACCGAAAACCCCCACCAAGGTAAAAATCAGAACAGGTACTCAAACTCTTGGAGAAACCATGGTTATCCAAGCCCTGATCACTGAAAGTACAAGGATTATCAAGGAGGAAGACGCTCTCCTAATTATAACGGCAAATTTTCAGGTTATGATCAACCTGACAGAAGGCAAAACCATCAGTTCCAGAACCGTCGCTCTAGATCTGAAAGAGAACCACGTTCACCAGGTCAGAGACGTTCTGAAAAGATGAAAGAATCAAAACCTGAACGAGATGAAGACGATGAAGTTTTCACTTCCAAAGAGATGGAAATGATCTGACGTATAGTAGAAGAAGTATGTAAACAAGAAAAGTCTAAGAAGGCTGATCTCCTGTCTAACATCTTCTGTTCCAAAACCTGAGTCTCTAAAATGTTACCAACGAGCCGTTGGAACCACAAGCTAAGGAGTTGAACCCTCCATCTGCGGCGGCAGATTGTGATCCCTCTCCTGTAGCTGAAGTAGAGACCTCAGGTGTTGACATGTCTGGTCCAGTAAAAGAAACTGACCAGTCAAACATAACCAGTGCTGTTTTAACAGTACAGACAACTGCTGATGATCCTTTGTTTGAAAACGATCACTCCAGGATCCGAATAAAACCTCCGGTACACAAGTTTTTGTGTGACCTTACTGAAAAAGGGGTAGCAAAAAAAGTTTTATATTTTGCTGACCCTGGAACAAGTCCTGTCTCATGATACTCTCCTGGACACAGGAGCTGACATCACTTTAATATCTGCCACACTGTTTTAAAAACTAAAGTTAGCAGCAAATATTGCTGGCAAAGGTTTGATCCTTCAGAACTGTTCATTAGATGTACGACCGTACTCTTGTGAAGAAACCACCTTATCCCAGATGGCACTGATTGAGATTTAGATTGGCCCAATGACTCGTATACACCCCGTATATGTGTCGCAAATGGAATCAATCCCTTTCCTAATAGGACAAGATCTTTTAAACCGGTTTCAGCCTTTGATCAATTTCAAGAATCTCAAAGTCTGGGCACAAGTACGCCAACCGTTATCCATCGCTTTCTCTCCAGAAGTAACCTCTCAATGGGCCACACTGAATACTTCTGATGAAATCAACATCTCTCAACCTGATAACAACTGTCAGGAAAATGAGATCCTGCCCCAAACCCATGTAATGCCAGCCACAACTGATCAACCGTTGACGCTAGCACTAGCATATTTTGTGATCTCACCTGTTTGGATTGTCGGCCGCGTGCGTCCGCTGAGTACACCAGCTAAATGAACGTCCAATTGAGCTGATGGCTTGCTGGCAGTAGTCCATCTGAAGCTTAACTGAACTTTTTACCTCTTTCAACCAGCCAATCAGCATGCGGTCAAATGGCCGTGTACGGCTGGTTATTGTATGGCAAGCCATGTTGGCATATAATTGGATTGTCGGCCACACGCGTTCCTGACACAATAAAAAGCCCGACACTGACCTGGTCCGCGCATTAAGAACATTATTATAGCCCGGTCCGGTCCGAATCCGGGTCGGGCGTGGGCAGGCTCTGGGTTCAGGTTAGAAATTACAACTCTAATCCCTGCTCAGAGCAGTCATTTCCTCTGTCACTGTGTGTCTCTGGACCCAGCCAGAACCCTACCTGTGCTGGTCCTGAGCCGCTTGCAGCATGGGCCGCATGAAGTCCTTTGTTCTACAGGGGTGGAGGACAAAGAAAGGTTGACCCAGAAGAGGATGCTCCTGATGAACAGACAACTCATCACAGATCCAGATTTCCACAAAGGAAACAAACGCTCAAGAAAAAGTTGTCTCATTTTACCTGCTGACTTATTGCATCCAACGGACAGCTTTGCAGATGAAGCCTGAAGCTTGGGTGGACACAGCTCCACACCTCTTCTAATGTCAGGCTCCTTCCCTCTGATACATGAGGAAGACCAACAAGAAACAAAACACCCATCAAACCTGACACATCAACAGCCTGCAGCTTTTATTGGATAAGCTGGCTTTAACACCTGTTTTCCCAACACGTTTCACAATAACCGTTACAAGACAACAGACTGACATAAACAGATTTCATGTTAAAAATAATTTTAACTGAAGCCGTTTTTGATCGTTGGTCAAAACTTGAAAATAACATCCTGATGGATTGAAGGGTGTCTCACTCAAAATATGTGTTGTGAGTGACTCTCAGCTACTACCACATGAATTTTTACCTCAGTATCTAGCCATTTATATTCAGTAGTGTTGGCTAATACTGATTAGCTGTGCTAGCCAACTTGAAATGAGTATAGCCAAAAAGTTGTGCAGTTATAAATGGACATCTAGTTGTAGGTACCAGCACAAGAGAGCAGTTGATCCCACATTTTCATAAAGTGGGGCTTCATACATTCAACACTTGCTTTTCTCAAGGGCGGACGCCTTCTCCTCTCCCTCTCCGCTTTGCTTTTGCTCTGTCCCATCTGTGAAACTGCTTTAGAGCTTCTCTTGTACAAATCTTTCAAATCGTAACTATGGACTTGGATTTGGCCAGTTGGTCCCTCAACACAATTGATAACATTTCTTTGAAGAGAAGACACACTTTAGTTAGGTGAGCAGATTTGCCCTGTTGGCACACATGCAGCTGTGTTTTATTAAAAATGCAAAAATCAATAAAAATACCTTGTTTAAAAATATGAATCCACATTAGTCAACAAAAAATGGATGGATCTCTGTAACTTGACAGATATTGAGGTAAAAACTAATGTGCAAGTACAAACCGGATTCCCAAAAAATTGGGACACTAAACAAATTGTGAATAAAAACTGAATGCAATGATGTGGAGGTGCCAACATCTAATATTTTATTCAGAATAGAACACAAATCACAGATCAAAAGTTTAACTGAGAGAATGTATAATTTTAAGGGAAAAAGCTGTTGTTTCCAAATTTTATGGCGTCAACAAATACCAAAAAAGTTGGGACTAGTCCATTTTACCACTGTGTGGCATCCCCCCTTCTTTTTACAACACTCAGCAGACGTCTGGGGACAGAGGAGACCAGTTTCTCAAGTTTAGAAATAGGAATGCTCTCCCATTCATGTCTAATACAGGCCTCTAACTGTTCAGTCGTCTTGGGCCTTCTTTGTCGCACCTTCCTCTTTATGATGCGCCAAATGTTCTCTATAGGTGAAAGATCTGGACTGCAGGCTGGCCATTTCAGTACCCGGATCCTTCTACTATGTAGCCATGATGTTGTGATTGCTGCAGAATGTGGTCTGGCATTATCGTGTTGAAAAATGCAGGGTCTTCCCTGAAAGAGATGACGTCTAGATGGGAGCATATGTTGTTCTAGAACCTGATAATAGTTCTCTGCATTAATGGTGCCTTTCCAGACATGCAAGCTGCCCATGCCACAAGCGCTCATGCAACCCCAAACCATCAGTGATGCAGGCTTCTGAATGGAGCGTTGATAACAACTTGGGCTATCCTTGTCCTCTCTGGTCCAGATGACATGGCGTCCCAGTGTTCCATAAAGAACTTCAAATCGTGACTCATCTGGCCACAGAACAGTCTTCCATTTTGCCACACTCCATTTTAAATGACTCCTGGCCCAGTGCAAACGTCTGAGCTTGTGGAGCTTGCTTAGAAATGGCTTCCTCTTTGCACTGTAGAGTTTCAGCTGGCAACAGCGGATGGCACGGTGGATTGTGTTCACTGACAATGCTTTCTGGAAGTATTCCTGAGCCCATTCTGTTATTTCCTTGACAGTGGCATTCCTGCTTGAGGTGCAGTAATGTTTAAGGGCCCGGAGATCACGAGCATCCAGTAGAGTTTTACGGCCTTGACCCTTACGCACAGCGATTGTTCCAGATTCTCTGAATCTTTTGATGATGTTATGCACGGTTGATGATGATAACTTAAAAGTATTTTCTATTTTACGCTGGGTAACACCATTCTGGTATTGCTGCACTATCTTTCTGCGCAACAATGGTGGAATTGGTGATCCTCTTACCATCTTGGCTTCTGAGAGACACTGACACTCTGAGAAGCTCTTTTTATACCCAATCATGTTGTCCATTGACCTAATTAGTGTTAATTGGTCTTCCAGCTGTTCGTTATTTGTTCAATTTCCTTTTGCCAGCCACTTATTGCTACTTGTCCCAACTTTTTTGGGTGACACTGTGAAATTTTGAATCAACATATTTTTCCTTTAAAATGTTACATTTACTCAGATTAAACTTTTGATCTGTCATCTATGTTATATTACGAATAAAATATTGACATTTGCCATCACCACATCATTGCATTCCGTTTTTATTCACAATTTGTTTAGTGTCCCAAATTTTTTGGAATCAGGTTTGTAGTTGAGAGTCATTGTATTTTGGGTGCGACATCTTACATTACAGCTTGTTATTTTAAAAGTTGGACCAAAGTGGCTACAACTTTGTCATTTCTCAGCATATTAAATGTTGTTTCTCATTTTGAACCCGTCCAGTGGACCAGATGTAAATTTTTTAGATTTGTCTACCTGGATTATTGAGCATGCATAAGGATATTGTTTCTCATAGTTTCTCAATGATGATTGTTGTCTAAAACGGTGGGATAAAAGGCAGCAGGAGATGGGCATTCCTTCAAGGAACGCTAGATCATTAAGTCTGAAGTCTCTTTTAGTCTGAAGCTAGTCTGAAGATGTGATCCACTAGATCTCAGGGTATTAGATTGTGGAATGATCTGGAGGTTGATATTAAAAATGCCAAAACTATGTACATATTCAAGAAGATGATAAAAAAAATTTTTTTTTTAAATATTAAGTATAATGTGAGTTCATAAAAATTGTTTACAGTTGATCTTATATTTTAGCTAAGTTTTTTTTATTTTATTATTTTTTATTTTTTTTATTAATTCATCTTGCTTTTGTATAGTAATTTTGTTTGGAATATATTTTGGGGACAAGGGGCAGATATTATAAGAACTCAATCTTCTTCTGCTGCCTTTCATTTTATTTCTGTGATTGTATATCTTTTTTCTTTTCTTTAAATTTTATTATATTTGTTGTTTGGATGAAATGAAATGAATAAATAAAACATACATACATACATCTTTATTTTTTCTATATATTTTGACCATCAGTCTAAACAGAAAGATTAGAGGCAAAGACTAACCCAAAGTGAACACTCTGAAATAGAGCACAGGAGCAGCATAGCTGCAGGAATACAGGATGTGATACTCAAACAGAAGCACCGGGTCATCGTTCTCAGACACCCGACAGCTGCTGTCGTCTTCATCCTCCAGCTCACCTGAGGAGCAGCTGGGATCAGATGAGGCAATGCAGAGAGGCTGAGTAGATACACAAACAGAGAGACAATGGTTATGAACTGTTAGCTTGTGTTGCTTCAGAACAAACAGATAAATTAGTTTGTACCCTTTTATAATATAAAAAAACCACAATTGATGTAACCCGAAATCTCTACTTTTGTCTCATCAGTTACAGAAACATCTCACAGATACTTTGGTTTTAGTCAACATACATTTTAATTAATTAAATTAATTGCATTAAATTAAAACATCAAATGTTTTATCTGTTTTTCTGTCGGTGGTGGAGCCTACTGGGTCTGTTTCCATCAAGACCATCATCATTCAGAACAGATAGTAGCTATGCATGCTGATGCAAGCTGAGCATGCATCAGGAGATAGTAGCTATGTTTACATACGCAAAATTCTCTGACCGGATTGAAATGTGTTCTGTTTGAATAATTCAAATGTATTGTTTACATGGGCTAGGCAGCACGGTGGCACAACTGGTAGAGCTGCTGCCTCTCAGCGAACAGGCCCCTGGTTCAAACCCCGGTCCAGGGGCCTTCTGGGTGGAGTTTGCATGTTCTCTCCGTGCATGCGTGGGTTTTCTCCGGGTACTCCGGTTTCCTCCCACAGACCAAAAATATGCATGTTAGGCTGATTGGTAACTCTAAATTGTCCCTAGGTGTGAGTGAGAGAGTGAATGGTTGTTTGTCTCGTTTGTCTCTATGTGGCCCTGTGATGGACTTGCGACCTGTCCAGGGTGTACCCCGCCCCTCGCACAGTGATTGCTGGACATGGGCACCAGCGACCCCCGTGACCCAAAATGGAATAAACGGGTAAAGATAATGGATGGATGTTTACATGGGCACAATCTGTTCTTGACGAGCGTTTAAACTCAGGTCCAGCGTGGCTGCGGGAGGGTCTGGAGATTTCCTAGTGGGCTGGTCTGATGTGTGGGCTGTAGAGCCAGCTCTCCCTGTTTTTGTAATTTTTTTTAGATCTTTTTATTAACAACATATAAACACAGAACACTACTGCGGCTGAGGCTGCCAGCGCTCGTTTTTTTTTTCTTTTTTTCTGACCTGTCAATCAATCCATTAGGCGTGTCAGCAAATGACCAATCGGCGACCTCAATTTGTCCCAAAGGTAAACGCCCCTTGTCTGTGAAGCTGACTGCAGCTGCTCAGGGTGTATGCTCGAGTATGAAGTCTGGTACAGTACACGCATACGTATGCGTGAACGGACGTACGTGGGAGTATACACACTTCACTTCCGGCGAGCTGATGAACGGCAACTCCCTCCGGCTTCTCTGCAGTCTTTTATCATCAAACTGACCCGTTTTTTCGAACCGGACTAAAGTTGGTCCTCCTTCCAACCGAATTCGGTGTTCAGTGACTCAGAGAGCCGGACGGGACCGTCCAAAAATATATTTTGGTCCAAGACAGGACGCTCCCACCCCATCGGTCACTCTGAGTGCACCCTGCTGGCCAGGTGACCCCTCGAGCCAGGGAGTCGTTGCACGAAGGTCCGGTGTTTTCTCTCTCTCTCTCTGGACCTCAACGAACTCTTATCTGGACCTTTGTGGTTCTACCTGGTTCCGACAAAAATCGCCGGGTGGTATTTCGCTGGTTTTCTGCTGGACTGGCCCTCGTGGTGTCTTCATAGGTGTGGGGGAAGTGTACCTGTGACCCTCGAATTGGACCAGAACCGAACCGAGGTGGCTGTGGGGATTTCGTCTTCAACAAAGCCGGTCTCAGCTTCAGTGAGCAGCCCGTTACTTTCACCGAAGGACTGTCCACCTCCGTGGAATCGCTGTGTTCACCTGGAGTAGACGCTCCGGTGCTTTGAAGCGCCGCCGGACCGGAGCAGAACCGGGCCAGGGACATCTTCAGCCTCTTTGTCTCTCGTGCTGTGGAGTGCCGGAGCCAGACTGGAGCAGAACCGCACCGCCGGACCGGAGCAGAACCGGTCCAGGGGCATCTTCAGCCTCTTCGTCTCTCGTGCTGTGGAGCGCCGGAGCCGGACTGGAACAGAATCGGACCAGACCAGTGTCGACTTCAGCCTCTCTGGTCAGTCTCGTTTTTCACCGGGGGTGCCTCTCGTGCTGTCGGGTGTGGAGGTGTCGTGCAGAGAAGCGAAGGAGCAGGCTTGCGTGGTGCTCGAGAGAAGTTCGGAGATTGTATCGGGGATGCTGCAGGCCTCCATCCAAAATCACATGGATAATAATTAATGTTATTCCGGATCACGCTGTTGGCCCTTGTTGACCTGAAACGAGCTAGGATCATGCCTTTCACTTCAGGAGGATTTTCTGGCAGCTCGCTCTGCTATTTGCTACAAATTATCTGTTTCTGTTTCGTCCTGTTGATATTGGACCCAGCTTCTGTTTCCCATGGGAGCATCCATCCATCTTCACTGGGGGGCCGGAGCCCCCCTCAGCCCAACTCAAACTGCAGTTGGGCCACCTCATCGGGTTTGTTTGCACATTTGAACTGTGACGTTTTATGGTCTGAAACTTTTCTGCATCATTCATATTATTGTCACTATTTTCAGTTCTCAGATTATCTGGAGTCACTGAATCTTGTTAATACACCTGGATCTGCCCATCACTGCAACTTTCACAGTTTTTGGGTTATGAATGATCGCGTCTTCATTAATGTTTGTCATGGTTAAACTGGGATTCTTTTTCAGAAACAGATCCCGTCTAACCCTGAATGTTAGGAAACACCTTGTATCTGTGACTTTCCTTCCCTCCATTGATTTTGGTGACATTATTTACATGAACGCTCCTACAAGAACCCTGCAGATGTTGGATGCTGTCTATCGTGGTGCACTAAGATTCATAACTGGCTGTGATTATCGTACCCACCACTGCACCCTGTATTCACTGGTTAATTGGACATCATTAACTTCACGCAGACTCTCTCACTGGTACATTTTCATCTTTAAATCACTTCTTGGTCTGCTGCCTTCATACGTCTCCTCCTACATGTCTCTGCGTGAGTGCAGCTACAGCGTGCGCTCTCAGGACATTATTACCTGCAGTGTTCCCTCAGTGAGGACTGAACTAGGCAAAAGGGCCTTCTCCTACTCCGCTCCTGTTTCCTGGAATATCTTACAAAAAGATTTGAAGCTCTCGGCCTTGACCTCTCTAAGTGGCTTTAAGAATCTGTTGGACTCCTGGCAGGGACCAATGCAGACATTTTCCTGTTCTTAGTTTTCTACATTCGCCTTAGAATCTAGCTGTTTTTTGTTACCTTTTTCTTATAGCCATCCTATTTGTAAAAAAAAAAAGAAAAACCTGCAGTATTACTTTTTATAATTGTTTATTGTTGTTGCTGTTGTCCATTGTTGTTATCTTTCTTTGTTGGAATCAGGTCTCTCTTGTAAATGAGTCCTCCAGGCTCAATGGTATTTACCTGTCTAAATAAAGGTTAAATGAATATGTGCACCTACTCATACATGCTTTCATATTGTACAATATGTAAATGATACAGCGGTGGTGGGATGCATCAAAAATAATGAGGAGTCCAGCTACAGGCAGGAGGTAGAAACCCTGCAGAGCTAGAGCAGTAAGAAGGTTGTAGACTTCAGACAGAACAACCCCTCCCCCGTACATAGGAGGATCTGCGGTGGAAGTGGTCTCCAGCTACAAGTACTTGGGTGTGCACCTGAATGACAACCTCAGATGGGGCACCAACACTACCAGCCTGATCAAGAAGGCACATCAGAGACTCTACTTCTTCAGGCAACTGATGCAAGCTGGTCTGGGAATCTCAGTCCTCACCTCATTCTATAGGTGTGCAGTGGAGAGCATCATGTGCTCCAGCGTCAATGTGTGGCATGGAGGCTGCACTGCTGTAGCAAGAAAAGCGTTGCAGAGTGGTGAAGGCTGCATAGAAGTCTGTTGGAGTCAATCTCCCCACTACCACAGACATCTACACTTCCAGATGCAGGAAGAGGGCCACCAGCATCATGAAGGACCCCACTCACCCAGCACACACATGTTTTGTACCGCTCCCCTCAGGAAGGAGGTTGAGGAGCATTAAGTGTAGAAGCACTAAACTGAGGAACAGCTTCTACCCTGAGGCTGTTAGACTCATGAACCAGGATAATCACTGTGAAAAATCACATCATGTTGCTTCTGATCTGTTTCATGTTGCTGTGTTCATGCGTGCTCATCTGCTCACACAGACTCATGTTTGTGCTGCTGTTGGGCATATTGTTTTTGCTTCGTGTATTTTTAATTAAGTTTTCTTAGTTCATATCTTAGATCTTATTACTGTGTTTCTTTTACATTTTATACTTTTGTTAGATGCTATGTTCCCTCTAATTTTTCATGTTTCTGGGCAAACACATACGTTCCCTGAGCGCACTGAGGACCACTGTGAGCAAAATCAGATGTGCAGGCTGTAGTCATACACCAGTATTACACCTGTTCAAAACCTGGGATCATAGTAAGTTACATGGCTTATTGAAATAATCAAATTACAGCAGCAATTTCCTTTAGTTTACTTTTAAGCATAAGTGAGTTGGCCCACTTAAAATGAAAACAAAATTAATCTTCATGTTCATGAGATCAGTTTCAGTATGTTATATATAAGAGTCCTGCTTTGGTCTGGGTGGGGTCCAGTTGTGGCTTTGAGTGAGGGTACTGCTCTGGACGATGTTTAGTAACATGGTGGCCATTGGTATCAGAAGCAAGTTTGTAATGTGGTGGGGGACACACTGGTCAGGGGGTCTGGGGGTCCTCCCCCATAAAAAATTTAATAAAGTAGATTAGGGTGACCAGACATCCCCGATTTTCGGGGACAGTCTCTGTTTTGGATGACCTGTAAAAGCTTTCTCCGAAAATGTCCCCGATTTGAGCGTTTAATGAATGAGAAAAAAAAGTTGAACGCAGACTGTTTATTACAGTAGCCAGGTGCAGTTGCATGCAACAACTGCTGTTACTGCAGCTGCTGGTTGCACCAGCACTGCAGCTTGGACGTTACAAACAGAAGAAGAAGAAAAGCCATGTGGGCCGCCTTTAAAACAGAAGAAGAAGGAGTGTAGCACAAGTTTGACAACACCGACTGGGAGAAAAAAAAAAACACCAAGGGAGAGTTTTCCTGTGACATGGTATGTATGAACTGATTTATTTTGTTTGAACTGGGTTGATCCTTGCTGTGATAAAAGTTTTGTTCTTAGTAGGAAATGTTTCCAAAGTTGTCAGCTGTGTCCAGGTAAAATAAAAAAAATACAGGGCTGAGATAAAGATAAACATGAGGACCCAAAGCAAGCTTTTATTAACAAACATCAACAAAAGGCAAGAGGAGGAGTAACTG